CACACACACACACACACACACACACACACACACACACACACACACACGTTGCTGGTCTAAATGTGCAGCGTTTGAAATAAGTTGACCTGGGAACTCTGATTGACACTGTGGCTTCACTGTCCCTCAAGCTTTTTCTCTTCCCATGAGCAGTTTTCCTCTGAAGGAAGAATCTGAAGATTTCTAATGGCTTTCTCCGTGACTTACAGAGATGCAAGACTGAAAGCCATAGCTATCCTTGGGAAACAGGAAAGGCTAAGGAGGGGACATGACTAGGATGCAAGAGGGGACGGGAACTCATGTCTAAGCCATTGAGTAGGCACCCGCTTTGTTTCCATTCACCATTTCACTTCATCTTGTCCATGCCCCTGGGAGGTTTGTTCATCATCTCTGGTTCTGAGTGAGAAAATTCACATGGTCATTTGTAGTTAGGGTCTCCTGGCTATTTAGTGATGGCCCTGGCTTTACACTCTGGTTGGTCTGCTGCCAAAACCCTTGCTCTGAAGTCCTCAATTCTGCCCCTGCTAAAGCAGGGTCAAAGCCAACACACACACGGAGAATTTCTGCAGTCTTCCCAGCAGGCTCTGGTTTGGAGCTTTTTCTCTACACCACGGAGAAATTGCTGCGTTGAAGCGTGGGATTCAGGTAGACGTGAGGCATTATCACCCAGCTCCAAGCTGGCCCAAAGTGAAGCTCACTGTTCCAGCAGCAGCAAATGAACAGTGGCAGAGGCCCCAACTAATTCTGTAAATGCATGCATATATTCAGCCAGGGCTAACTATCTGGAAAATTAGCAGGCGCTGCAGGAAGGGCTGAGGCTGGCTCAAGGAAGGCCTCCCAAATGCAGAGCAGTAGAAGGGCGCTCCTGAGACTCCCACAAGCACAGAGCGCAGCTTGGCTGTCTAGGAAGACCCTACTGAGCTCTCACAATATACCTGGTTGCCTTTCTTCTCTGAGCAGTCCTCAGAGCCACAGGGACTCCTACTACTGGCACTTGCTGGTGTCTGTATCTCTGCTTTGCCTGGCACCACACTCACTTCGTTACGGAGCTGCAAATATATTTAAGAGCTATACACGTTAGTGCCTTTCCAAGAAGAAAGGGGCGGCACTTTCTCTCCTCTTTTCCTGGAGCAGAGGTCCACCCTTTTTCCTCATCCTGATCATCTCCAGACCTCCGACTGCCAACTGCCTGATTACCCGATGCAAATTAAGGCCACCTCCCTGGCTGGGATTGGCTGAAGAGCCTCATATGCAAATGAACTCACCAAGACTTTATCTGGTTTGAAAGAGTCAAAATGCTGCCCCAGAGAAGAGGGTGGAATTGGGGAGGGAGTGCGGTTCCCACACAATTTGAATAAAATATTCTCTGTCTTAAACATCAGGATTTGGATGGTTCAATAAGGAGAGGAGCTGAGAGAGAGAGAGTGAGTTCGAAAATGCCTCTTTCTTTCCCACAACTGACTAGAGTAGAAGTTGAGGGCCTCTTAGGCAGTGGCAGCTTTCTGTTATGGGTAAATGTCTAATTTATTGTGATGGCATAGAGTAGGGAGGACAGAGTAGCGGTGCTTGGGGGCTGACATGTGACCCTGTGCAGGTCTGCTTTCTCAGCTGGGCACCTCCTTCCCACCCAGCAACTCGGACAAGATCTCTGAGAGGGGTGGGAAGGAGGTGTGGTTTGATTCCCTGGGCAGTGCACTGACCTTTGAGAACCAGACATACAGCAGAATTGGGAGCAGAAAGGAAAGAAGGGCAAATGCAAACTTCAGTTAAAGCATGCTTATCTTCTAGGGTGGCCTTGTTAAGTAGAGGGGAGGGAACAAATGCTGCCTGATTTGTACTTATATTATTATTGTTGTTGTTGTTGTTGTTGTTTTCTGAGACAGGGTCTCTCTGTGTAGCCTTGGCTGTCCTGGACTCACTTTGTAGATCAGGCTGTTCTCAAACTCACAAAGATCCACCTGCCTCTGCCTTTTTGAGTGGTGGGATTACAGGTGTGCACTACTGCCACCTGGCTATTTTATTATTTTTTTGAAACAAAGGCTTCTTTTTTTATCTTCCTTCCTTCCTTCCTTCCTTCCTTCCTTCCTTCCTTCCTTCCTTCCTTCCTTCCTCTTTCTTTCTTTCTTTTTTTCTTTTTTCTTTCTTTCTCTCTCTCTTCCTTTCTCTCTCTCTTCCTTCCTTTCTTCTTTCTTTCTTTCTTTCTTTCTTTCTTTCTTTCTTTCTTTCTTTCTTTCTTTCTTTCTTTGTTTTTCAAGGCAGGGTTTCTCTGAATAACCATAGCTGTCCTGGAACTCACTCTGTAGACCAGGCTGGCCTCGAACTCAAAGTCTTCCTCTTTAAGTTCAAGGCTGGCCTCAAGCTGTGGTCTTCCTGGGTTTATAGGCATGTGCTACTATACCTGGATTTCTACGAAACTTTTTTAGTTTTTTGAGACAGTGTGTCTCTGTGTAGTCCTGGCTGTCCTGTAGATCAGGCTGTCCTTAAACTCAGAGATCTGCCTGCCTCTGCCTTCTGAGTGCTGGGATTAAAGACCTGTGTGCCACCATGCCCAAGTACACCTGGATTTCCATGGAACTTTAAGAAGACACATTTCTTTAATTCCAAAAGAAATTAAGGGTGGGGATGGGCAGGGCCCCCCACTCTGCTTCTAGTCCTTATCCTTGTTCAGTTTTATCCACTATGTCTGGGAGATGGACGGTGGCCATGAATGATGCAGAAGGTGAGCGACCCCAGAGCCACTGTGGGGAGATGAGGGAAAGGAAGCGATCTGTGCCTTCAGGCTTATGAATATTCTAATGGCTGTGTGTTTGGGAACCAGGAATTTGAAAGTCTGATGCCTGTTGTAATTACATATTCATCTTTGCTGTTTAGTTAAAGCCACGTATGTCACAGCAAGAAAAATGGTGACCTGTTATTAAAATCAGTCGTGGTTCCCCTGCAGATATCAAGATGAGTGGGGATGTAGCGGATTCCACGGATGCCCGCAGCACGTTCAGCCAGGTGGAGTCAGGTAAGATGTTCTCTTCTGGGCATTAGTGCTTAGGGGAAACTATGCAGCAATGTGGTGTCTCTTCTTGCTTAGTATTTCAAAGGTAAAAGCTGGATCTTAGGCCCCGAGAGACTCCTCTGGAGATATCGAGGAGGCATGGCTCTAAAGCCTTGGAATAATAAATATTGACCTTGATAGAATAAACCTCTGGAACCAGGAAGGAGCCAGATTCTTAGGAACAAAGGACAAAAAGTTAGTGAGGACAAAAAGTTAGTGAGGAGAGAGTCACTCTTACAGTGCTGGACATCCAGTCCAAGGCTTTGCACATGCTAGGCCAGGGGCCAGTCTTCGACCACCGTGTCTTGTGACATGCATGTGTGATAGGAATTAAAGAGCCTTGCCGAGACAGGAAAATGCCTTAGCACTGAGCCATAACCCTACTTTTTTTTTTTTCAAAGATTTATTTATTTGTTATGTATACAGTGTTCTGCCTGAATGTATACCTGCATGCCAGAAGAGGGCACCAGATCTCATTACAGATGGTTGTGAGCCACCATGTGGTTGCTGGGAATTGAATTCAGGACCTCTGGAAAAGCAGCCAGTGCTCTTAACCTCTGAGTCAAATCTCCAGTCTCACACTCCTACTCTTCACTTTTATTTTGAGTCAAGGATTTGCTAAAACTCACTATGAAATGCCTCAGCCTCCTGGACCAATTTTTAAAGAGACTTTTATTATTATTAATATTATTATTATTATTGCTATTACTATTATGGTGTGTTTATATGTGTGTATGAGTGGAGGTCAGAGGACAACTTTGAAGAGTTTCTTCTCCCTTTCTGTGGTTCTGGGGATGGAACTCAGGTCCCGTGTCTTGCACAGCAAGCACCTTTATCCACTGAACCATCGCTGTTGTGGTTCATGCTTTGATATCTGCACTAACATGGAAGCAACAGGCTGTATTGCCAGCTCCTGAGAGGACTTGTTTTTGGTAGATGCGGACTGGCATCTTCCCCTCCAGGCTCTGTTTTTCTTTAAGACATGGTTTCTCTGTGTAGCCCTGGCTGTCCTAAAACTGGATTTGTAAACCGGGCTGGCCTTGAACTCAGAGATTCACCTGCCTGTGCCTCTGCCTCTGAAATGCTGGGATTACAGGTATGAGCCACCACCATGCCCAGCTTCCATCCAAGGTTTTTCTTGGCTTTTTTTTTTTTTTTTTTTTTTCTGAAACAGAGTTTTCCTGTGTAGCCTTGGCTGTTCTAGGTCTCACTCTATAGACCAGGCTGGCCTCGAACTCAGCGATCTGCCTGCTTCTGCCTCTTGAGTGCTGGGATTAAAGGCATATGGCACCACTGCCCAGCTTCATCCAAGGTTCTTAAAAGTCTTTCTTAAGGAACTCAGCAGACAGGCCTGAATACAAGTATTAACTTTCTGATTGGTGTGTGTGGCTGGTATTAAGCTCAGAGAGGAAAGGATTAGTTCCTTTGACGTGACTTTGCCTTGTAAAGAAAAGAAAGGAGATAGGAAAGAATTGAGATATTTCTTTCTTCTCTCTTGTTGTCATCATAGCCAAGCCTCCGTTTGAAAATGCTCTCTAATTAAAAAGAACTTGAAGAAAGATAACTAGAAGATAACTTTAATAGCCTCCCAACAAGGCCCCAATTAGTGTTTCATCTGGAGACAGAAGTGAGAAGGGGGAGCGAATCTAATATCCTCTAAAACGAAAATCTTTTTCAACAGTTGTGGAACATTCTAGTTCTTGAAGCTAAAAGAGAGACATGAAAGTTGAGGAGGCCGATAGGGAAGGGCTTGTCTTCAGAATGTGCTTGCTACAGATTTTTCTGCTCTTCAGTTTAACATCAAAGCAGGGTCTACTTGTTTGGATAGCAACGCCTGTAGAGCTGCAGTCTTTATATTCTCCTTTGCATGGAACAGCTGGAGTGAACAGAGTGTGGACTAGTTGCACCCACTTTTCATGGTGTTGTTCACCCCATTATACTGGTGATTGGATTTAGGTACTTGTTTATCGTAACCAAGCACTCTACCACTGGGCTACATTCCTACCCTTTAAAAAAAAATTTTTTTTTTTTACTATTATTTTTATTTATTTGTTTTGACATAACGTCTTGCTAAGTTGTCTTTGAACTTGCTCTGTAGCCAAGGCTGGCCTCCGATTTACAATCCTTCTCTTGTCTCAGCCTCAGCTGGGATTACAGGCCTGTGTCATCAAGCCTGCCTTTGGACAGTTTGCTGGTGGCATACACATTACTAAGGTTGGTGGAGAAGGGTAATCATTAATATCCTTCAATCTTGAGGAGCTGAAATGTGTTCAGCTGAGGAGTGCTGGCGGGCTTGCCTCTACTCATGATGCTCTTCCCTAGAGAAAAATGGAGTCCAGAGCTGTGATACTGTTCTAGAGACACTGTTCCTTTCCTGGAACCATCTCCGTCCCCCAAGGCCCATTGGCCAGGACATAGTTGAGCAGTGTCCACATGGAAATGACCACTTTTATTGCGGGAATCTAGCCTTTGTTGTGAGTTATCCTGACCAAGTTGTAGATCATGTGAGGAGTCAGAATGAGCCACTCTGAACCCCTGATAATGAGCCTAGGAAGGTAGAGCTTCAACCATAGGAGGACACCAAGAAGTCCAATGTGTTCTGGGGTTGCCTGGGCAAATCCTAACCTCCTGTGGAGGACTGTGGAAGCTGTGAGCTAAGAGATTAAGGGAGAGAGAAGCAGGGATGAACCAGGACTGCCAGAATCCATCTTGCCATGCCGCCCACGTCGCCTGACTCTTTACCTCTTCAGTAGATAGACCTTTGAAGGGCATGGTTTCAAATCAAACAGACCTGGGATAAAAGCTGGCAAATGAGCCAGGAAGGATGCTGCTCTCCTGTAACCGACACTCAGGCTGAGACAAGAGCATTGACAGTTGGAGAGTTCAAGCCCAGTTCTGGGCCAGCCTGGGCTACACACTGAGTTCCCACCTCTCCCTCCACATGCCTACAAACAGAACCATTTACTAGTTATCTGATTTGATCATTTATCCTTTATACAAAGTGACAAAAGAAAATGAATGCTGTCTTAGAGGGTAGACTGACAACAAACGGAAACACCTAAGCCCATCACCACTGTCTTGGTTTTGTTTTGTTTATTTGTTTGAGACAAGGCCTCACTACATAACTCTGGCTAGTCCATAATTTGATATGTAGACCAGGCTGACCTTGAATTCACAGAGCTCCACCCTACTGCCTCTGTCTACTGAGTGCTGGGAATAAAGGCATGTGTCACCAAACAGCTACCACGTCTTTTTGCCCCACAAAAGGTGCAATTAAAAGTGCCTGGTGGCCAGCCAGATGTGGTGGCGTATGCCTGTAATCCCAGCACTCGGGGAGGCAGAGGCAGGCGGGTCTCTGGGAGTTCGAGGCCAGCCTGGTTTACAAAGAGAGTCCAGGACAGCCAAGGCTACACAGAGAAACCCTGTCTCGAAAAACAAAACAAAACAAAAAAATGCCTGGTGCCTGTAGAGGTCAGAAGAAGGTATCAAATCCCCTGGAGCTAGAGTTGTTGTAATGGTTGTATGTAATCTGTGATGTGGTTGCTGGGAATCAAACCTCATTCCTCTAGAAGAGCAAGGGTACTCAGCCACTGTGATTCTGTAAATCTGGGTCGTACTGGTAGGGGCTCTCGGGCCACAGGTGCCTGGGGTGCTCTTCACCTTCACCTGATCAAGCGCATCAGCTCCAGAATTTGGTTTTGCTCTGCTTACAAATGAAGAAAAGATTTTGTGTGGGTCCTCTACTCTTGGGAGATAGTGGTGTCTCCAACTTCTATGGAGTTTTCTTGTCCTTTTGTTTTCCCCTTCAGGGCTTTGTTCAGTGGTAGGATTAATGCTTAGGTGACCCTAAATTAATGGCAAGAAAAAAAAGTAGCTAATTAAAGTAACCAAACTTCCTGAAAAGTCATTCTGACTTTTTTTTTTTTTAAGCTGAGGAAAGGTTATTACCAGTTACAATAGTTACCAACTTAGTTTAATAGTTTCTTTTGAATTTTTAAAAGACACATTCATCTCCCCAGCAGCATGAGTTAATGGGTGCTTTGTCTCTGGGTTTTAAAGGAACTATAAGCAATGATGACCTAGAAAACCTGTGTCCCGGAGAGTGCCCACAGTATTGAGTGAAACCCCTAGGGCATTAGGGCCAGGAGCTGGGAAAGGGGGGCTGTCCTGTCCACTCTGAGTTGGTGGAGAATCCTTGGAGAGTTTTCTCAGACCTGCAGGGCAATCCACGACCCCCCACCCCATCCCCACAGCCACTCCTCGCCCCTATCCAGCTGAGAACAAAATGCTTGGGTCATCAGATTTCCTTTTTTGCTGGCAACCAAGGAAGACTCTGGAACCCCTATCTCCATGCCCCCCTATACTCTTTTTCTATAGGACTGAAGCCTATTTTCTCCAGCAGCAGCAACTGGCTTTTGGTTAATTCCTATTACCTCCTACCTGTTGCCGCTTTTCCTACACTCTATTTTATTTATTTTCGGTACTGGGGATTGAGCTGAGGGTCTCAGGCATCCTAAGCTCTCCCCCGGAACTTTAGCCCCAGTCGTGTGTGCACACCATCTGCAAATGCGTGCACATGGAGCCGGAGGACTAGCCACCTGTTTCCGATAGGATCTCTCACTGTTCTGCTTCATCAACTAGACCAGCTAGCCAGAAGTCCTTAGAATCCTCCTGTCTCCACATCTCCTCCAGCCCTGGGATTACAAGGGCATGCCACAGTGTTTATTACAGAGGTTCCAGGGATTGAAGTCAGGTCCCAAGGCTTATGTGGCAAGCACTTTACCAAGCCAACTGTCTGTCTATCTGTTTGTTTGTTTTTGAGGCAACCAGACTGGCCTGAAACTCATGTCACAGCTTGGCCTACTTCAGGCAGGCTCTGCGCCTTGGCCTCTCATTTTCTCTTCTTAACTGAGCAGCTGGATAAAATACAACTTTAATCATGTGTTAAACGCCCTCGGGCAAGG